TTGATGTGCTCTCTGCTTGGGATTTGAGCTTTGCTGCTGCACCCGTATATTGCACAAATAACAATAATTGTTGAATAACTTAATCACGGGAGCAGACGCGCGCACACTCGGAGGTTGGCGCTTGAAAAGTGACGCCACCGAGCAGTACATTGTGGGTAAAACAAGTGCTTGGTGAACTATCCGACTGTCTCTTATTCTTGCGGCGTAGTGTGGCACTTTCTTAAACCTGACCTGACCTGACCATAAGAAGCCTGGGTCAAATCTTCGTACTCTTAATATTAGTTATAAAATTCTAAGTATTATAATGTTATACTATATTGTTACTCAGTTTTGGCACCACAATCGCGGAACACAGTTGAGGATGGTAGAGGTGGAACACAGTTGAGGATGGCACAGGTGAAACACAGCTGAGGATGGTACAGGTGGAACACAGCTGGTGGTGGCACAGGTGGAACACAGTTGAGGATGGCACAGGTGGAACACAGTTGAGGTGGTACAGGTGGAACACAGTTGAGGTGGTACAGGTGAAACACAGCTGAGGTGGTACAGGTGAAACACAGCTGAGGGTGGTACAGGTGAAACACAGCTGAGGTTGGTACAGGTGAAACACAGCTGAGGGTGTGGGTGAAACACAGCTGAGGGTGGGTGACCTGGGGTGGTACAGGTGGAACCAGTGATGATGGGGTGGGACACAGCTGAGGATGGTACAGGTGGAACACAGTTGAGGATGGTACAGGTGGAACACAGTTGAGGATGGTACAGGTGAACACAGTTGAGGGTGGTACAGGTGGAACACAGGAGGTGGTACAGGTGAAACACAGCTGAGGATGGTACAGGGTGGAACACAGTTGAGGATGGTACAGGTGGAACACAGTTGAGGATGGTACAGGTGGAACACAGCTGGGGTGGCAGGTGGAACACAGTTGAGGATGGCACAGGTGGGACACAGCTGAGGATGGTACAGGTGGAACACAGTTGAGGGTGGTACAGGTGGAACACAGCTGAGGGTGGTACAGGTGGAACACAGTTGAGGGTGGTACAGGTGGAACACAGTTGAGATGGTACAGGTGGAACACAGTTGAGGGTGGCACAGGTGGGACACAGCTGAGGGTGGTACAGGTGGAACACAGCTGAGGTGGTACAGGTGGAACACAGTTGAGGATGGTACAGGTGGAACACAGTTGAGGTGGTACAGGTGGAACACAGTTGAGGTGGTACAGGTGGAACACAGTTGAGGATGGTACAGGTGGAACACAGCTGAGGGTGGTATAGGTGGAACACAGTTGAGGATGGTACAGGTGGAACACAGCTGAGGGTGGTACAGGTGGAACACAGCTGAGGGTGGTACAGGTGGAACACAGTTGAGGATGGTACAGGTGGAACACAGCTGAGGGTGGTACAGGTGGAACACAGTTGAGGGTGGTACAGTGGAACACAGTTGAGGATGGTACAGGTGGAACACAGTTGAGGGTGGCACGGTGGGACACAGCTGAGGTGGTACAGGTGGAACCTGAGGTGTACAGGTGGGACACAGTTGAGGATGCACAGGTGGGACACGCTGAGGGTGGTACAGGTGGAACACAGCTGAGGGTGGTACAGGTGGAACACAGTTGAGGATGGCACAGGTGGGACACAGCTGAGGGTGGTACAGGTGGAACACAGCTGAGGTGGTACAGGTGGAACACAGTTGAGGATGGTACAGGTGGAACACAGTTGAGGGTGGTACAGGTGGAACACAGTTGAGGTGGTACAGGTGGAACACAGTTGGGGTGGCGGTGGAACACAGCTGAGGTGGTACAGGTGAAACACAGCTGAGGATGGCACAGGTGGAACACAGTTGAGGTGGTACAGGTGGAACACAGTTGAGGTGGTACAGGTGGAACACAGTTGAGGTGGTACAGGTGGAACACAGTTGAGGTGTTCAGGTGAAACACAGTTGAGGATGGTACAGTGGAACACAGTTGAGGTGGTACAGGTGGATGAATTGAGGTGGTACAGGTGGAACACAGTTGAGGTGGTACAGGTGGAACACAGCTGAGGGTGGTACAGGTGGAACGTGAGGTGGCACAGGTGGAACACAGCTGAGGGTTGACAGGTGGAACACAGTTGAGGGTGGTACAGGTGGAACACAGCTGAGGGGGTACAGGTGGAACACAGCTGAGGGTGGTACAGGTGGAACACAGTTGAGGTGGTACAGGTGGAACACAGTTGAGGTGGTACAGGTGGAACACAGCTGAGGTGGAGGTGGAACACAGCTGAGGATGGCACAGGTGGAACACAGTTGAGGGTGGTACAGGTGGAACACAGTTGAGGGTGGTACAGGTGGAACACAGCAGGGTGGTACAGGTGAACACAGCTGAGGTGGCACAGGTGGACAGTTGAGGATGGTAGAGGTGGAACACAGTTGAGGATGGCACAGGTGAAACACAGCTGAGGATGGTACAGGTGGAACACAGCTGAGGGTGGCACAGGTGGAACACAGTTGAGGATGGCACAGGTGGAACACAGTTGAGGGTGGTACAGGTGGAACACAGTTGAGGGTGGTACAGGTGAAACACAGCTGAGGGTGGTACAGGAAACACAGCTGAGGGTGGTACAGGTAACACAGCTGAGGGTGTACAGGTGAAACACAGCTGAGGGTGGGCGGTGAAACACAGCTGAGGGTGGCACAGGTGAAACACAGCTGAGGGTGGTACAGGTGGAACACAGCTGATGATGGCACACAGGTGGGACACAGCTGAGGATGGTACAGGTGGAACACAGTTGAGGATGGTACAGGTGGAACACAGTTGAGGATGGTACAGGTGGAACACAGTTGAGGGTGGTACAGGTGGAACACAGTTGAGGGTGGTACAGGTGAAACACAGCTGAGGATGGTACAGGTGGGAACACAGTTGGGAGATGGTACAGGTGAAACACAGCTGAGGATGGTACAGGTGGAACACAGCTGAGGGTGGCACAGGTGGAACACAGTTGAGGATGGCACAGGTGGAACACAGTTGAGGGTGGTACAGGTGGAACACAGTTGAGGATGGCACAGGTGAAACACAGCTGAGGGTGGTACAGGTGAAACACAGCTGAGGATGGTACAGGTGAAACACAGCTGAGGATGGTACAGGTGGAACACAGCTGAGGGTGGTACAGGTGGAACACAGCTGAGGATGGTACAGGTGAAACACAGCTGAGGATGGTACAGGTGGAACACAGCTGAGGATGGTACAGGTGGAACATACAGTTGAGGTGGTACAGGTGGGAACACAGTTGAGGATGGCAACAGGTGGAACACAGTTGAGGATGGTACAGGTGGAAATTAGATGTGCTGAGGGTGGTACAGATGAAAACATGAAGCTGAGGGTGGTACAGGTGGAACACAGTTGAGGGTGTAGGCAGGTGAACACAGCTGAGGGTGGGTACAGGTGGGAACACAGTTGAGGGGTGGTACAGGTGAACATGCTGAGGGTGGTACAGGTGGAACACAGCGAGGGTGGTACAGGTGGGAACACAGTTGAGGGTGGTACAGGTGGGATGGCACGCGAGGCGCTGAGGTGGCAAGGTGGAACACAGGCTGGAGGGTGCAGGCCAGGTAAAATGCAGCTGAGGGTGGCACAGGCGTGAAATCACAGTTGAGGGTGGTACAGGTGGAAACACAGCTGAGGGTGGTACAGGTGGAACACAGTTGAGGTGGGTACAGGTGAACACAGTCGAGGTGGCACAGGTGAAACACAGCTGAGGGTACAGGTGAAACACAGCTGAGGGGTGGTAAGCAGGAAATACAGTTGAGGGTGGTACAGGTGGGAACAGGAGCTGAGGGTGGTACAGGTGAAATCACAGCTGAGGGGTGGTGGGCAGGTGGGAACAGCAGTTGAGGGTGGGGAACACAGCTGAGGGTGGTACAGGTGGAACACAGTTGAGGGTGGTACAGGTGAAACACAGCTGAGGGTGGTACAGGTGGAACACAGCTGAGGATGGTACAGGTGGAACACAGTTGAGGGTGGTACAGGTGGAACACAGCTGAGGGTGGTACAGGTGGAACACAGCTGAGGGTGGTACAGGTGGAACACAGCTGAGGGTGGTACAGGTGGAACACAGCTGAGGATGGTACAGGTGGAGCGCCAGACCACGAACCACCAGTGTTGACTTTGCAGTTAAGTGTTGTAGGCGTCAGCTTCAACACCTCGACCCATCTGACCTCTCACTTCAGGCCACCTGGCTTATTGTATTATGAACTTTGTAATTACTATACTGAATCAGGAGTGCATGGGGACATTCTTGCTGTTTATCCCAAATTTGCTAGCCCACACTGATTAGTCCTCAATTAGAATATGACGTCCAATGTATATGAACCACTGTCCTGCATGGCAGCGAACAGTGACATCACCCACATGTCTTTGTGTATGAACCTCTGTGCTGCGTGGCAGTGAGAAGTGATACCACCCTCAGTGTCAAGACCTGACTGAATTATTCACAATAGGCAAACTGTATTCCAGGCTTTGTCAATAAATTTGTTAAACTAAAAAAAACTCTCTCTCTCTCTCTCTCTCTCTCTCTCTCTCTCTCTCTCTCTCTCTCTCTCTCTCTCTCTCTCTCTCTCTCTCTCTCTCTCTCTCCTGTTATCCGCCTCGTTCTCACCTATATCTCAATCACAGTGTTCATTGGTCTGGTTCCGGTGCTAACTCTCTACAGGCAATAATACAAACAATTAACCAGTAAGGTAACCTAACGTAACCCCCCGTCAGTTAATTATTTAAGTTAATATGAACATGTATAACAGTATCGTCCTGTCGTCAAGAATATCACAGTGGCAGACAGTAAAATGACGACTCCAGAGATAAAGAGAAGAATAGACAGAGGGGAGAATAGACACGAGAATACAGGTGAGAAGAGAGGGGGAGTAGACAGAGAGGAGAATAGAGGAGATTTGACAGACAATAAAATAGATAGGTGAGAATTGACAGACAGGGAAGAGGAGACGAGGACTACCAAGAGCAGGAGGGACCCACCAGCAGTAGCGGTGACGACGGCAGTAGAAGCAGCAGAAGCAGGCGCGGGAGCAGTAACAGCACCACCACCACCACCACCACCACCAAGCGGCCGGAATGTGTTCCAAGATGGTAGAGAGAAAGAGAAAGGAGGGAGACAGACAAGAGAGAGAAAAGAGACGCAAGAGAGGAGACTGACAAGAGAAAGATAGGAACAAGCAAGAGAGACAGGGGAGGTAGATGCTGGGTGGCGCTGTGTGAGGAGGGAGATGTCGATGGTTCTTGACGTAATCCAAGGTGTTAAGGGCTACTCTTTATGGGAAGTGGCGCTCACTCACAGGGGGAAGTAGTGGTTCACTTTACACTAAGAGGGAAAGTAGCAGTTCAATTTAAACTAGAGGGAAGTAGCGGTACACTTTCGGCTACTCATGGGAGGGTAACACAGATGGTCTACCCCTGACACGTGAGGCGGCCGCCCACACCACACACCAGCCAACACTAGCCCACTCACACTCCACTCTGCCCCACCGCCCGCCGCCCTGGCTAAAGATAGATGCAGCCGACGCACACAGCTACCTAGCGCCCACTCCTAGAAATCGGGAGACCGAACGCGCAAGGTAAACGGGAAACTACCTCAACCACAAAGAAAACTGAGACGAGTTACATTTTTTATAAAGAAAACGAGAACTGGCAACACCACACACACAAGGAAAATGGGAAGTGAGATCCCTGAAGACGATGTAAACAGTGACTTGAGACACTGGCCAGATAAAGCTGAAAACTTTAACATAACCACATGGAAATGGGGAATATTACCTACAAAGACAGTAAGAACTGATCAATATGACACACACAAAACGGAATGTGACAATATAATACACAGAAAACGTGAAACTGTATCATTCACCAAATCAAAGACGAGAAGAAATATTGAAGTAAAGCAAAATTGAAAAACTGATTTACTGGAACACAAGAAAACCCTAAAATGTCCCCATCCATCCTCCCTAACACCCAAACTCCCCCATCCACCCTCCTCATCTTTAGTGCAGTGTCACCTCCCTTACATACTTGAGGAAAACTCAGTCTTTATCAACACTCTAACAGGGCCTAAATACAATAAAAGGTACAGTACTGTATCATTACGTCATATTACACAATAAAAAATAAAAACTTTTAACACGGGAAAACTGCACTGGCCTTAGTTGTAATTGTTGTTATAAAAACTTCCAATATGACCGCAATTAACTTAGAAAGAAGGTGGTAGGTGCTGGGTGACAAATGTTACCTTATGAGATGTAATAGAATAAGCTCGAGGGCGAAAAAGTGCTACAACAAATATTCTGGACTTGCGGCTTCTTCAATTTTGAGCTGTGACGAAAACTGCTGGGAGATATGATAGAAGTATTTAAGTGGGTGAAAGGAATCAATAAAGAAGATATAGATAAAGCTCTTATAATATCCGAGCAGGATAGGACTCGGAGCAACGGATTTTAGTTGGATAAGTTTAGGTTTAGGAGGGAGATAGGAAGAAACTGGTTCACAAATAGGGTGGTGCATGGACGAGTGGAACAAGCTTAGCAACTTTGTAGTAAGTGCTGGAACGCTGGAAAGTTTCAAAAGGAGGCTGGATAGATTCATGGATGATAGAAAGTGGTAGTAACTCTCGACAGGAGCTGCCATGCACAGGCCAACTGGCCTATTGCAGACTCCTTATTTTCTTATGTTCTTTTGTTCTTATGTTATGGGGCGAGCGTCCGCCAGCTCCAGGTAAGGACACTCGACTGAGATATGCTAAGGACTGTCAGTTGGTTGAAAATGTTCAAAGGAGGGTGTAGTGGATTTCTCCCCTACAAACGCTGTTTGTCGCTGAGTAGCCGACCCCACCAATTCCCCAGTGTGTGCCCCGTGGTCTAGGTCAACCAGCGCCGCCATACACCACGGAGAGGGGGTCAACTACTAAGCCACGCCAACTCCCGCTATTTAAGACCTGACCTCGTCGTGACCTGTCTCTTTCTACCTACAGCCGCAGCCAGCAACACCTCCTCCGCCGCTGCCTGGCGGCCCTCGCTCCTCCTCCGCCTGCCTGGCGGTCCTCTCTCCCGCCGGAGAGCATGGCGACCCACAAGCTGTCCTTCTCTGAGCATCCTCACCAACCAGCTCTCTCTACATCACGCTTGTAATCATGCTGCCTTCCCAGCACCAAGCTGCATTGTACATCCAGTACAACATGTATATAGAGAGCACATTGTGAGTTTCCTTTCTCCATCCCATCCTGAGTGTGAACCAAACAATCTTGAACCTCACAAGGGCCACCAGACTGGTGCCTGCACTTCGGCACCTCAACTACCCTGAGAGATAGGAGCGCCTGAACTTGCCTAACTTATACTACAGACGGGCAAGGGGTGACCTAATTGAGGTGCATAAGCATCTCAAGGGGCACTACTCAGTCCAGTCTCAAAGGTGACATCCTTAAATGAATTAGGGCGTGGTTACAGGAGAGGAAACATTGAGTGAGCATTAACGGCATTAAGTCCCATTGGAGCAATGTCACAAGTGGAGTTCCCCAAGGCTCAGTACTTGGACCATTATTATTTATTATATACATAAACGACATAGATATCGGCATAGACAGCAACATAAGTAAATTTGCTGATGACACTAAAATAGGACGTGTTATCAAATCTGACGAGGACTCGGCAAAACTACAGGAAGATCTAAACAAATTTTTCGAATGGTCTGAAAAATGGCAGATGAAATTCACCACACACTGCTTGAGGTCATGTAGAATTCCGTACCCTTCGAGTAAGACGTCCCCATAATGCATGAGCGAAGGTGGACAGGATTACCAACTCTACCGTACTTGGTTCTACACAGAGGGGAAGAGTTTCGAGGAATTAGAAATACCGCTTGAAAGAAAAATTCCTACAGGCTGGCTCTTCGTTGGAGAGGAAAGATGATTAAAACTCCGGCGTAAGTGTCAGTAATTAATTCACTGTAGCACCTTAACACATATTTATATTATTTTATTTAAGCTTAATATATATTACTTGTATATTATCAATGAATTATTAATGATTTTTTTGTATTTGAAATTTTTTTTTGAGATATTGCGCTTTCCATATTCTCGGGTTTATGATCAGTGAGGCATTGTGGGAGCTGTCCAGGCGGTTATCAGGGGCTAATGTTGCAACACTACCACAAGTCATATTAATGTAACCATTCCCACCACTACTGATCCAATTTGAGTCAAATTAAATAATTATTGGGAATTTTCTCTATATTTACGATATGTTTGGTTATTTATTGTTTAAAAATGAATAAAATATATTTTTCTTTGGTGTTCGTGGTAGTTTTAACATTAGACAATCTACAGAAGCGTTTGTTTGTGATGATGTTATGATGTTGTAGTTGTTGACGATTGCCCTCAGTTGACTTATTTGACTTACAGAAAGCTGTCTCAACACCTTGTAAGTATTACCCAAGTTTTTAAGGTTTAAGTGAGCATATAGAGATATTTATTACGTGTAGTGTGCGGTAAATGAGAGGTGGAGGCAACTCCGGGATAAGATCGGGAGACAAACTTCACCTCTTAAACACACTAAATTACACCTTTTCTTATGTAGATAGTTATTGTTACTTATTCTTAATTATTCCTTGTACTTTTAGGATAGTTGTGATAATAGTAACATTTGGTGAGTTAGTTCGCAGCAGTAAACAACCTACCACAGTGCTGTGAGCCCAGACTTGACCAACACTGAAGCAGGTTCAGATATATTCAGGGTCCAGTACTTATGTGACCAAGCGGCGAAGAGAGTTAAAGTATTGAACATAAGTAGGCTTGTCGCCTCCTGGGGTGTAATGAATTAAATAATATTGAATATCACAAGGAAGAACGGTAAATGTTGGTCCATTGGTTGCCCTCAGGTTTTGATACAAGTTTTTATTTTATTTTTGTGTATTATGTTGTTTTACTCAAATCTGACCTTCATTTCTTGTGCAAATTAGCGGTTTAAAAGAAAAAAATTTCATTGGTGAATTTATAGTCTTACACCTGTCTTTCTTTCACTGTTATTAATATGTATTTCGTAATGTTTAGACAATTCTATGACATTTTTCGGTTAATATATAGGACTAACCTGTGAGTGAGTTATATTTATTGATGTTTATTTTCTTACAATATTTTCATCGGGGGGGTAATAAAAAAACCAGTGATTTCCGGCGGAAACGAATATAATTTTTTTTCGAGACTCGTCAAACACCGGCGAGGGGGTTGGGTAAGATAAGGTAGGTTTCGTTGGTTGGTTAGGTCAAGTTGTGAGGGAGGGTGATAACTCAAAATTGACTCATTTCCCTCACATTTATGGTAAAAAACCAATTGGTAGTGAAACTGTAATTTTAGCAAAGTGTGTAATGAATACATAATAGAAGTGTGTGTTTGTTTTACAGAGGCATGAGTCACCTGGAGAGTGGCTCGGTGGTGTGGGTGAGACTGGGCCAAGCTTGGTGGCCTGGCACCATCACCACCGTTGCCAAGTGCCCACCAGAATATGTCCAGGCACTTCGGAAGATGCCAGTTGCAATTGTCAAGTTCTTCCATGAAAATGAATAGTAAGTATTGTGGCTTGATGAGTGTATCATATGTTGTGTGAGTATTAATATTTGCTATATTGTAAGTTGACTAGAACCAAGACTCACTCTGTTTTGCTGCTGTAATATCCCACAAACCACTCATGTACAGTACTGTACTTCACTAGAGGTACATCCCCCACACTTCTCAATGCCTCCTTCTCTCCTGTAGCCATTCTGTCACTCATCATTGTCTGAGAAGCTAGTAATTACTTAATTTTTTTTATGTAACCTTGTTGAAGTAGAGTACAGTACTGTATTATAAGAAATGTCTTGGAAGATATACTGTAGATGTCAGGTTCTGTGCAGGTATATAAAAATATTATCTAATGGCGTTAAATGAGGAGATGGAGTTTTTTCATTATGTTTTTTCAAGTCAGAAGAGTTAGAGAAGTGCAGGATTTATAAGAACATAAGAACATAAGAAAGTGGGATACTGCAGGAGGCCGACTGGCCCATACAGGGCAGATCCCTTTCACACCCATCCCAGCACTTCCATGTGCCTATCCAACTTCGTCTTGAAGCTCCCTAGTGTCCCCGATCCTACTATAGCACTCGGTAGTCTATTCCACATATCCACAACTCTATTTCCAAACCAGTGCTTGCCTATATCCTTTATGAGATCATTTTGAGAGTGGCAGTTGCAATAATTTCTCCACACAAGTTGCAAAATGTGTTATAGTTTCCAGTGCAGCTAACAGATCTGTGGAGATACTGTACTCTACTGTACTCTATTGTACTATAATTTTACTATATACTGTACAAACACCCGCCGATATGAACGAGGTTAAACTTTGAATTTACAGTATTTTATTTACCTTATGACTTGTTTTTTACTTTCCTTTACTGTATTTTGTCATTTTAGTTTTTTTTGTTAAATTAAGTGATTATAATATATTATTTGGTGCATTTTTAAGGGACCATATTTATATAAGGAAGATAGGCTTTTGTATAGTGAGAACGAGGTGTAATAATTAATAGACCGTCGGTATAGTGCGGGATATTGCATCAGTGTTTGTGGCTACACCTTACTGTACACACTTCCCTCTTCATTTCAGTCAAGATGTTCACAAGTCAGAACACATCTTCCCCTACAACTGTGATCGCAAGGAAGAATTCATCAGAAGAGGGCAATGTAAGTTTCAGTGTCCTAAGGTAGCAATATGTGTTTGATATTTATATTATAGTAGTGAATACATGTTAATGAACTCTGACCACAACTCAGGTTAGGTGTACATTTACTGTACTATAAGAGAGTGTTAAGAGACCATAACTGTAAACCGTAGGGATGACCCAAATGACAATTTTATATAGTACATTTTTTCCCCCAAGGTAGCGTGTGTATTATGTCGTGGGTAAAGTGTTCCAATTGGTTTATAAATATTTCTTTATTGATTGTTCACAATGTACAGTACAGTTAATGTAATGTATTGTCTCTTTAATATTTGTATACACAAAAACTTCTCCAACACCTGGGCACGGTGGATGTGAGAATGGGGCTTGTCATCTCGGAATGGTTTCAAATTCTTTGTTCATTTTTCAGATTACATATTGCTTATAGTGTTTGAGAAGTGTTTGGTGAGTGTGTACATTAAATAGGTTTTTACATTTTTTGTTTCTGCAGGCGTCAATAGGAACCAGAGTCACGGAGATGTGGATTTATTGGCCAAGTTTGAGGCGGACGTGGTGACGGCCGAGAAGCTCACAGGAGGGGACATGAACATCCTACAGACCTTGGGCGAGGTTGCTGGTAAGCGCAGAATAGACTATAGTAACCTGGGGTTTGGACAACAAAAATCCAAGAAGAAAAAAGAGGAGGTGGTCAAGAGGGGAACAGATATTGGGCAAGCTGTAGTGTACAAGAAGGTTGGCAGCAGGATTCCGGGTAATAAAATGCAACAGGCCGTGATTCAATATAAGGTACGCATTCTCCCCCAGCCTAAGAGAGAAAACAGTGAAGAAGACATGCGTGCTGCATCAAATTGGTACAAGTGTCATATCTGCGGTTTTACGTGCACCAGGCTAAACGTGATCATCTGGCACAACAAAGTTCACATGAAAAAGGTATACAATTATGACACAGGTATCAAGATACCTGGAAGAAGGAGAAGAAAACAGGGCACCCCTAAGACAAACAAGGACTCCAAAAGGAAGGGCAAAGACGCCAAGGGGAGAGAACACTTGCAACACGCTCACACAAACGGCCAAGTGTCCGAGTCCAGGAAAAGCCTGCAGGACACAAAGCAACTCTTGATGGATTGGGCCGACGACGACGAGGGAGCGGACGGCGACGCGGCCAAGACTGTCGGGTCGGATAAAGTTAGAAAACAAAATGACTCTGACGATGGCTACAGTGACATTGATGATTATCCTCCCCCACAACCTAAGTATGAGAGAAAACCCATGCCCAAGGCCTCTGATATTAACTCTGCATTTGATGCTTTACTGGCTGCCACACCAGCCATTCCAGTTACTCCTTCCTCCAGCCAGACTTCAAATTATATAAATAATGACTCGGACAGTGACTATAGTGACTGGGAAAAATATTACGCAAGGGATTCTGGGTCAAACTCAGAGGAGGAGGAAGTAGAACAGGAGAGTGATATTAAGAGTCTCTGTGAAGGAAAGGAAGAGAGAAATGATGACACAAATGGTCAAGAGAAACGGGAAGAAAAAGATAGTTCAGGGGAACGTGCAGTGGAAGAGGAAGCCACGGCTAAAGTTAAGGAGGAACGTGAAGAGAACGCTCCGTCCCCCAAGGTTGATAACAGTTGTGAAGATGTTAGATCACAGTTACATGTTCGCACTACTTACCAACAAGAGGAACTGACCCCGGAGCCAGACGAAGAGAAGCAAATGTGTATAAACAAACATTATGAACCAACAGATGATGTCAGTGAACCGGTGCAAGGCATAAGTAAACCAACAGATGATGTCAGTGAACCTGTGCAAGGCATAAGTGAACCAACAGATGATGTCAGTGAACCTGTGCAAGGCATAAGTGAACCAACAGATGATGTCAGTGAACCAGGAGATGTTGTACCTCGACCAGCTGAAGAAGGTCAACACACTGGTACATCACCTGAACAACTGCTTGATGATAATAATGAACCACTTGAAAATATTTTTGATCGAACAGATGATATTTCTAGTCAAACTGAAGAAGTTTCTGATCAAACTGACAAAGATTATGAACCAACTGATGAAGCTTCTGGTCGAATTGATGAAGCTTATGAACCAACTGATGATAATTACGAGCGAAGTAATGATGCCTTTGAACAAACTGAAGGTGATTATGAACGAACTGACTCAATGTATGAACAAACTGAAGATGTTTGTGAACAAACTAAAGACATTGAAGAACGAACTGAAGACATGGATGAGCAAAAACAAAGTGACGACATTTATGAACAATCTGAAGATGTCAACGAGCAGACTGAAGACAGTGAAGGGGGTGATAAACCTTCAGAAGATGTCTACGATCCCTCAGAAGACGTCTACAATCCCTCTGAAGACGTCTACGCTCCCTCAGAAGACGTCTACGATCCCTCAGAAGACGTCTACGATCCCTCAGAAGACGTCTACGATCCCTCAGAAGATGTTTATGGACCAACAGAAAACATTGATAAACCGTCTGAAGATGTTGACAGTCCAGCAGAAGATTTTGATGGTCCAAATGATTTCAATGATAATGCAGCCGAGGAAGATGGAGAACAGTCTGATCACAGTGATGGTCAGGCAGATGAGCCGTACAACGTAGGTGAAGAATCACCTGCCCGTGTGGACCAACCTGACACTGACACTGGGGAAGCTAATGAACTAACTCAAAATATTGATAAATTCAGTGAAAATATTGGTGAATTTACACAAGGTCTTAATGTTGGACTGGCTGAAAGTGAAGGAATAACAGAGAATGTTGAAGAAAATGAGAGACTAAAAGAAAGTGGACACGAGCCGACAAGAAGACCTTTTGATGCAGACTCCGATGCCCCGGAAGTGTCACACTCTAAGACGGAAGCCGAGCCGGAGGACACAAATGAGCCGGCGAAAACGAGCGATGTGGCGACTACGTCCAGCTCGGGTACGACATACATGCTGGTCGCGGTGGACGCTCACGGGAACACCGTGCCCACCGTTCCTACGCCGGCACTCAGCGAGGGGGGCAACGACCTCGTTGCCGTGGAAGCTACGATGGAGGACGGCACGACACGTACACTGTACATAGATCCCTCACAACTGGGCCCAAATGTAGACTTAAATAATTTAATGCTTCATATTGATTCCAGCGGTCAAGAGCATGTCATCATCCCATCCTCGTCTTCATCTGATTCAGAAACACCCAGTCAAGAACTTCACTCGACAGAGACCCGCGGCCTTCACCAGAATGTTTCAGAATCGTCAAATGTCCAGGCACCGTACCCGGCAGAAACCCGTGGCCATCAGCAGACGAACCTCGTAGAGAGCACTCGGCACGGTCATTACTCGCCCGCCCGCCCGGATGAGAACGAGAGTGCGTGAGCTTAAGGACTTATTATGGGGTAGTGTGTGACTCATGGTTCAATACTTTAGTAAATCTCTTTAGACTTGTGTTGTCCCATTGCCTTCTTCTAACACCATGTTCCAGTTGACTAACAGTATATAGGATGGGTATTTTATGTTACTATAGACCTGCAAAGAAGTAGTTTACATACTGTAGATAATAGTGCTGCAGGGTTTTCACAACTAACCAAGTTAACCAGATTCAACATACAGTATATTTGAGCAAGTTCAAATTTTTACTGTAAAAAATCTTAATTTATCTGATACTAATGTACAGTATATTTAACCTAATGTAGTAAATCTGTAAACCTAATCATATTCATTTCATCACTGAGAATTAGAGTAATTTGTCCCATTGATTTACAGCCTTACACTGCCTGAACCATGTTCCCCTTGGTCCTGAACCTCTGAGAGAAAACCCTGCATTGTGGTTTGTTTTACCAGAAAGTTTAGTCCTGTACTGTATTGGGTAGATAGTTATGCACACTTGATAGTACAATATAAGGGACTGAGTGACTGAATCCTTAAGTACCATATATAATTAGAATATAAAATTTTCTTAATAAAAACAGTTGGAAAAAGTATCACCCTAAAATTTCATATTTTTTTCTACTGTAAGAATCTGTCGCAGCAAGACTCACACTCTGCACTACTATATTAGTTATATTTTTATAGATAATTGTCTAACTGCTTATTTCATAGGAATATTTGTTCTACTTCCTTACACAAAACATCCATCTTTCATTCTTGTGAGTACTCTATTGTAGGTTTAATATGGGTTAACAGTTGTGCAGTCACCGTGGGTACCAACCTAAAACTTGACTAATAATTTAAAGCACGTGTGTGTGTGTGTGTGTGTTTGTGCGTGTGCGTGCGTGCGTGCGTGCGTGCGTGCGTGCGTGCGTGCGTGCATGCGTGCGTGGACAGGCCAATGATGGTCTCAATTCAGATTTCATTTTTTTGAGGTATGGTTGTTAGTTGGCCTCAGTAACCCCTTCCTTACTGCATGGCCAGGGATGTGTACTGTACTAACTCGGCCATGTGTTAAGGAAAGGTTTAAGAGCAACATGTTATGAAGAAGTGTTTGAGAGACTAAGATATGGGGCCTGTACCTTCTTATTACTATATAGTACTGTACTATTATGAAAAAATCTGTAGTGATGGCTCCTTTCCCTTATGAGTACAGTACGTATTGGGAATACAGTTTTATGTAGAATCTAAGGACTCCCTCAGTACCTGCAGTATGTAACCTGATTTGAGACTCCTCATTTGTTTTCTATTATTTTAATATATACAGTAAAACCTCGATCTAATGAATCATATAGAGATAAAAGTTCATTAAATGGAGGTTTTGCTGTACTACATAACTATGTACTAGTTATTTTCTTTTATAAATGAGAAATTACACTAACTCTTTCTCATATAATACTTTTGCAGTACAGTAAACCCTAGCTATTTGTGGGGTTAGGTTCCAAGGAATGGCGCGAACAGGCAAAACCACGAATAGCAACTTATACTACCTTAGTGCACTAATGTATACCTATATTGTGTATGAGAAACTTAAAGTCACCAATACTACTTACATATGTATGTGGAAGTTTGGAGCTTGATGAAGTGGTGTACTGTACATAGGGAGACATCTGGTTACTGAAGCATAGGGGGGATCATGAGGATCACTGGTGGAAGAGGGTGATGCAGTAGTGGCCGGTGGAGAGGCGCATGGCTGGGAGGCGGGTGGTGAGGTGACGGATGGCTGGGAGGCGGGTGGTGAGGTGACGGATGGCTGGGAGGCGGGTGGTGGAGCGGCGGTAGCAGTTGGCTAAGTGAGGGAGGGAGACAAATTAGCTGGACGAGCGGCTGGTTCTTTCTTGAAAAACATAAGAACATAAGAAAATAAGGAGTCTGCAATAGGCCGGTTGGCCTCTGCGTGGCAGCTCCTGTTGAGAGTTACAACCACTCTATCATCCATGAATCTATCCAGCCTCCTTTTGAAACTTTCCAGCGTACCAGCACTTACTACAAGGTTGCTAAGCTTGTTCCACTCGTCCACCACCCTATTTGTGAACCAGTTTCTTCCTATCTCCCTCCTAAACCTAAACTTATCCAACTTAAATCCTTTGCTCCGAGTCCTATCCTGCTCAGATATTATAAGAACTTTATCTATATCCCCTTTATTGATTCCTTTCACCCACTTAAATACTTCTATCATATCTCCCCGCACTCTTTGTCTTTTTAGGGAAGGCAAGTTAAGTTTCTTTAACCTATCCTGATATGGAAGGTTTCTAAGTCCCGGAATCATTTTCGTCATTCTTCGCTGCACCGACTCTAGTGAATTGATATCCATTCTATAATAAGGGCACCAGAACTGAACCGCATAAGCGAGGTGCGGCCTGACTAGCGTAAGATATAGTTGCAATAAGACCTCTGCACTCTTATTACTTACACTTCTAGATAAAAAACCCAATACTCTGTTTGCCTTATTTCGAACATTAACGCACTTTTTTCTAGGGAAACCAGTTACCAGATGAACAACGATGCCATTGTGGAATCCGACTGCGAGAGAAATTTAGGAGTAATGGTAAGTAGGAATCTTAAAGCAAGTAAACAATGTGTTTTTGCTCGTAGCAAGGCTAATAAAGTACTTGGGTCATACAAAGGAGTGTTAGTTACAAGACTAGCGAGGTCATCTTAAAATTATATCTAGCGCTTGTGAGACCTCACCTGGATTACGCAGTTCAGTTCTGGTCTCCATATTACAGAATGGATATATAATCCTTGGAAAGAGTCCAGAGGAGAATGACAAGACTAATCCCGGGCATTAGGAACCTTGAGTACAGAGACAGGTTAAAGCATCTTAATTTGCACTCCCTCGAGAGACGTAGAGTGAGGGGCGACATGATAGAGGTGTATAAATGGAAGTCAGGGTTAAACAAAGGGGACATTACAAAGGTACTCAAACTATCCAACCAGGAGCGAACTCGTAACAATGGTTTTAAATTAGACAAATTTAGATTTCTGCGTGAAATAGGTAAACACTGGTTTGGAAACAGAGTAGTGGATGAATGGAAAAGTTACCAAATATCATCATTAACTCGAATACGCTGGATAGCTTCAAACATAGGTTGGATGCTTATATGAGCAATAGGGGTTGGGTATAAACGGGACTGCCCAGTATGGGTCAATAGGCCCGCTGCAGTTTACTCCATTCTTATGTTCTTATGTACTCTGTTTGCCTTATTTCCAACATTAACGCACTGTATTCTAGGCAGTAGGTCCGGGCTTACAAGTACCCCTAAGTCTCTTTCACAAGTTGACTTCTCTAGACTGTATACATTGACAGTATTCATTCTTCCAATATTAAGTACGCTGTGCTTGCTGGTGTTGAATTTCATTTGCCATTTTTCAGACCACTCCTGCAGTTTATTTAGATCCTGTAGTGCATTTGCATCCTGCCCTGAATTAATCTGCCGCCCTATTTTGGTGTCATCCGCAAACTTTAGAAATTTAACACAGAGGCACAGTACAAGTCACAACACCGGACCAGTGAGAGGCACAGCAGTATGGTCTGCCATTTTTTTAACTGCTGTACAGTACTGTGCTGTGCTGTACTGTACTGTACTGTACTGTACTGTACTGTACTGTACTGTGCTGTGCTGTGCTGTACTGTACTGTGCTGTACTGTTCTGTGCTGTTCTGTACTGTGCTGTGCGTTGCTATACTGTACTGTACTGTACTGTACTGTACTGTACTGGTTTGTACAGGTTCAGTATCAATAAGAATGAATAAAAAGATATATTGTAGTACTACTGTACATATGTTTTTACTCTATTTAATTTGTTTTATATATTTTAACACAGGCTATTGTGTTGTACCACATAGAAACATGATGTTCATTTTGGATATTTGACCCAAGTAAAAAGTGTACAAACTAGCCGGGGGTTTTGTATAAAGAAGACATTTTTCTTATCTGAAGATTATAGGCAGTGCCCTGAAGCATCTGATTTTTTAACAATATTTAAGTTAATTAGTTCAAAGTTGACAGGATATTGATTTCTAGACTGTACAGTATGTATAGTACAGTATACAGATAAATGCTTTTATATGCATTTATTTTTTATGTTAAAACAATGTTGTATGAAAAGCATTGTAAGTATAATTTTGCATAGCCAGAGATCATGAAACCTTTATCTTCTCATCCAAGATAGGGAATATTGCAGTTGGTGTACACGCCTGTCTGTATAATCAAAAGTTGTGTGTGTGTAATTGTATGTTAGTAAGATAAAGTCGTCCAACAAATCTCAGTACAGTAATAGAATAAAATTAAACTTGGTACAGATGGTGTACTGTACAGTATAAGAATAGTTCTTATTTATTTGATAAAATGGTTCCATGTGTACTGGACTGGACTAGGAGAGTTAAGAGCATCAGTCGGGGCTTAAAGATGGTACAGCCACACGATACATTAGTATTAGAGAAACAACAATGAAAGATGCTGATAGATTCTCTGAGTTAAACCTTATTGAACATTATGAACAGGAAGGTCCAAATTAGTGAATATTCCCAATAAAGTGTTTGTTAGGTGAATTCTCCTTCAGCAGGACCCACACGTTAAAGGCTGAAGTACATATGTTTCAGTCCGTTGATGTTTGGCCTAACACCCCATTATGAGCTCCGGTAAACCCTCACTTATTAATATACAATGCACTTATCATATTTCATTGGTTTGCACTGATCACTATTTTTATTTATTTACTAATTTTTTATTTTTTAGTCATGCTCATCCTATCCTGCTAAGGTGCACAGGGCATAATGTAGTTTTGTTTTATTATGTAAAACATAAAGAGCAAAGTACTGTACTGTGAGAGCTTACTAATGTCTCATAAATTCCCAGTATTACTCCAAACAAACCCAATTAAGAAAATATTAACCTGTCTACTACTTTAACCTATTACAGCACTGCACTACATACTA